ACAATGTTGTGCCGAAGCGCACATTGTGCGAGTACCTGCAAATGCTTCAAGCGAAAATTGCGAAAGCAAACAAACACACGAACATACCATTCACACGCAAATGCATTCGCACACGCATACTCGTACAAACAGACGGCAGGATGTCGTGCAATGTGAATTTGCACCCAACAGCTTAGACTACCGCGAGCACACCCCTCCCATTTCTAGCTCCTCCCATGGCCTGTACTAGGAGTTTACAGCAGTACAGCCAGCCGCAGCACTCTCGGCAGTGGGGACCTGCAGTTCCAAAGTGTGGCGCCGCAGGTAGTGGCTGAGCTAGTAGTGGACGAGTCGTCGGCCCCTGCGGGTACCGGGCCCTTACAGGCCTTGGTGCTATCACTCAAGCTGGAGTCCTTACCACTCTGTATCCAGCTGTTACTGTCAACTCGACAACCTCCACTGTGAGCGTTTTGATCCTCACTCTATTACATTGCAGTGACCCTTGCGTCTTTGCCAGAGCACTACTGCACCAGTTGAGTCTCACCTACCTGGTCTAGGACCTCTCTCGGCTGCACGAGTAGAGACCTGTGTTTCCAGTCTTGGTGCGTGTGTTGTTTCCAGTCCAGGCGCCTCTGACTGTCTTTGTGTAGAAGCTGCAGCTACCACTAGTCTAGCACCAGCCTTTGTCGCTGGCTCGGGTGCGACCTCACATGATGCACAGCTTTCCTTCACCCTAGACTCTGGAGCGTCCAGCTGTTTGTTTCACGTCTGTGCAGACCTCACACCACTGCGCACTCCAGTTACTGTCGCCTAGGCTAACACCTGTGTAAGACCTGTAGTTGCCCACAGCACCACCACTCTTCCGTGTCCAACAGCTTCCTCTGGGTTCCTCACACGATACTACACCCCTTCATTCTCTTGGAACCTCGTGGGTGTCAGTCAACTCCACGACCTACTACTTTCCCACTTGACGAGCCTGTTGCCTCCTGCACACTCGGTGCCACAAGGACGACTCTGGCCACTTTCCACAGAGAGCTAGGCTCTGCACTGTACTCACTACACACTTGGTCCCACCACACTTAGTCAAGTTAGGTCAAGTCCGGTAAGGTAGCTGCTGTGTCGTGCGACTTTCCGTCTCTCACCAACCCGTCGGTCCTCCGTCTAGGTCACCCGTCCTTCCCATGTCTCCGTGGAATGGAACTTCACCGTCTGGTTTCAGGTCTCCCAGAGTCGCTTGCCCCGCTTCCTCACTCGGCTGCGCTACTGTGCACTCCTTACGTCGAGGGTTGGCAGCGCGCCCCCACACTCCTCGTCGTTCCCCCCCACCGCGGCTCCCTTCGAGACCCTGCATTTGGACGTCTGGGGCTCCTCCCCAGTCCTTGGCCCACGTCAAGAGCGATACTTCGTTATTTTGGTGGACGACTACTCCACGATTTTGCCCTTGCAACAGAAGGCCGACGTGTCTACCGTCCTCAGGTCGTGGCTACTAGCGTGGGCTGACGCCCAGGGCCTGTATGGGCTCCGCTTACACTCGAACCGTGGTGGTGAATTTTTTTCCACTCGCCAGGAGACGTTCTGTCAGGGTCGGGGGATCATCCAGTCTTACATGCTACCAGCCTCGCCGCAGCAGAACGGGGTAGCCGAGCGATGCATCGGCCCGGTCATGGAGGTTGCCCGAACCTCCATGTGCCATGCCGGTGCACCCCAGTTCTTGTGACTCTAGGCAGTCTGCTACGCTGCGCACCAGCTAAACATGTGGCCCAGTGACACACGGTCACGTGTGACGTCGGTCTCCCTTTGGACAGGTTCTCCGGGCATAGCATCTGACTTCCGCGTCTGGGGTTCTCTGGGTGACGTCCGCGAACAAGTAGTCTCCGTGCACTCGTGCATGCGTCTTTCTTGGCTCCCCTGAGATTCCAACAGCTGTCATGCTTTTGATCGTAGGATTCGAAGATGGAAGAAAAAATATAAAAGCAAGACAGAGTACAGTAGCACGTAGTGTTGTAGAGAAGTAGGCGGGAGTCGAAGATGCAGGCGGCGGGAAATTGTGCCGAAGTAGTAAAAAGTAGAGGACCGTTGCTTAGCAACGGTAACCAGAAGTAGATACTTACGCAAGCACCAAGGTCAGAATTACTTACTTGCTTGTTTGTTTCCACTCTAAGCAAAGAATCGATCCTAGAGAATTCCTAGAACCATGCCCGCGGAGGAGCCAACCATAGCAAGCCTCTGAAGTGTTAAGGGTTGTCGTGCCCGTTAGGCAACCGAGTTAGGCTTTACTAGTGTAGAAGTTCTGGCTAGGAACTGTCAACAAATAAGCAAGAAACGCGATACGCTACCACGTGCAATTAGTATGAACGATAGGTTCGGACTAACATCCGGACAGCGATACCGTATAGAGGATATTGTTGGTGTAAGGGCCTAATAAACTCAAGCTATTAGGACTTTATCAAACTTAAAACCTCTCCTCGGGGTCACCTCCAAGGGTCCTTGGGTGCCTGGTACAAGACCAGCCCCTATCCTCGGGTCCGAGTTTGTAGAGAGAGGGATCAAGAGGGACTTAATCAAAACAGCAAGAGTACCTTGAACGTCGCGCAACGTATCGTGCAGACCGTCGATCGGATTAAGCTGAGAAATTACTATATCGAAGCTCGCTCCAAGAGCTTTAAAATGAACCAAGTTGCCTCGCAAAAAATTCTGCCATTACGAAGTTATGGCTCGGACAACGTTTGCCTAGCGTTGGAGTGCTAGCGTACTAGCGTTGACTCGGGTAGCATTCCGCCGTCGCACCGTGTAGAAACGAAATTCCAAGAAGGGAGGAATTCGCTTGAATCAAATTGACTATATTCAGGTACAAACAGAGAATGAATAAATAGTTCTAGCTATCAAGGACCTTGGGAATGAACGTGGGAACAACCACGGATGGTCCCAAATAATTCCAAGCAACAGAACCAACCAGGCTGGACAAAACAGCAGGTGGTAGGTTGATAAACAACCTCTGGTTCTGTTTTTCCAACCTGGGAAAACAACAACCAGGTTCAGGTCCTAAAAACAGAACCTGTTTTGTCTTTGCCCAACCAGCCAAAAGCTGGTTCCGCTGGTTTCCCCTGGCCCTGTAGCATGCAGATACAGAGAAACAACATCCAACCTTCACCTAAATTGTACCCCTATAGTGCATGCCTTGCTACACTATAGTCAACCAAGCAAAACAGTACAATTTCGAGTTGGATAGAACTGAATCTGCACAATCAATTCAACCGAACCGCAAAGCTTCCATCTTGGGTTCCTTTGCGAGCTCGTCCTTTCTGCTTGTACTGTTCATAGCGCGTACAATGTTGTGCCAAAGCGCATAATGCGCGAGTACCTGCAAATGCTTCAAGCGAAAATTGCGAAAGCAAACAAACACACCGAACATTCCATTCACACCCAAATGCATTCGCACACGCATACTCATACAAACAGACGGCAGGATATCGTGCAATGTGAATTTGCACCCAACAGATATTTTAGCTGAACCAACCTGGCGCGCAGCCGCGACGACCAACTCTGACCAAACAGCGGCAGCGGAAGCATCGTGCGCTCCTGTCCCGAGGTCCGTGGCGTAACGAGCCCCGCATAAACGAGAGCGCGAACGGCGAGGAAAAATTGACCCTTCCCGTAACATCGCTTCGGATCTCGGAGAAACGCCACACGATCTGCGATGGGCCCAAGAAGCGAGGGCTCGGTGGGAAGAACGACGGACATATATTTCCCCAGGGAAGATGCCGGGGATAGAGGCGGACCGAGTGCCAGGACCCACAGCTTGGCTGCGCCGCCGAGCGGAAGGAGAACTGCGGACGCCGACTAACCGTGACATGGTCGAAAGCAAGACAGCGGGGCTACCGTCGGCCATTTCCATGCACGAACTGCCGAGCGAGAAGAAATGGGCTAGCGGGGCCCTCCCGAATGTTGGGTGCAAATTCACATTGCACGACATCCTGCCGTCTGTTTGTATGAGTATGCGTGTGCGAATGCATTTGGGTGTGAATGGAATGTTCGTGTGTTTGTTTGCTTTCGCAATTTTTGCTTGAAGCATTTGCAGGTTCTCGCGCATTATGCACTTCAGCACAACATTGTACGCGCTATGAACAGTACAAGCAGAAAGGACGAGCTTGCAAAGGAACCCAAGATGGAATCTTTGCGGTTCGGTTGAATTGATTATGCAGATTCTGTTTTATCCAACTCAAAATTGTATTCTTTTGTTTGGTTGACTTTAGTGTAGCAGGGCAGGCACTATAGGGGTACAATTTAGGTGAAGGTTGGATGTTGTTTGTCTATATCTACTTGCTACAGGACCAGGGGAAACCAATGGAACCAGCATTTGGCTGGTTGGGCAAAGACAAATCAGGTTCTGTTTTTTAGGACCTGAACCTGGTTGTTGTTTTCCCAAGTTGGAAAAACAGAACCAGAGGTTGTTTACCAACCTACCACCTGCTGTTTTGTCCAGCCAGGTTGGTTATGTTGCTTGGAATTATTTGGGATCATCCCTAGTTGTTCCCAGGTTTATTCCCAAGGTCCTTACTAGCTAGAACTATATATTCCTTCTCTGTTTGTACCTGAATATAGTCAATTTGATTCAAGCGAATTCCTCCCTTCCTAGAATTTCGTTTCTACGCGGTGCGATGGCGGAATGCTACCCGAGTCAACGCTAGTACGCTAGCACTCCAACGCTAGGCAAACACTGTCTGCGCCAGAACTTTATAATGGCAGAACTTTTCGCGAGGCAACTTTATTCAAGTCTAGCTTGACTTAAGCTTAGGAGCCATAGTTAAGGAGGTTCTTAGTAGTTGAGGTTTGGGGTTGAGGAGAGGGTCGAGAAAGTTGAGAGAGGAGAAAGGGGGCTTCACTATAGGTTGGCAACAACATATAGCAAAGAAACAAAGAGGGTGCACCACCAAACAAAGTTCATAATAACTATACTAACTACAGCTACATGCAGTTACAGATATATTATGACACTCCCCCATAACTGCTTGCAGCAAAAGCTAATGCAGAGACACTCCCTGAAGGGGTACACCAAGTGCAGCAGAAGAAGAGGGCAAGTGAGGAGGAGGGACTATATGCGGAGAGGCTGCTGGCAGGTGAAGCTGCTGGCTCCAAGGTGGCTGCTTCCTAGAACCTTCCTCAGTCCTCCAACTCCCCCTTCCATACTCCTTGATAACCCTAGCACCTGTCCCTCAGCTCCCCCACACCCTCACACCCACCCCTCCCCAGCGGCAGCTACAGCAGTGGGAGAGAAAGGAGGAGGAGGGGAAGGGGATCACACACACCCATCACCCCCATACCCGCCACCCCCATAGCCTCCGTTCCACGGCTGCACGCGCAGCAGGGAGACAAAGAAGGGGGAGGGGGAAGAGCAGGGGCAGCATAGGCACGGGCAGGGCAGCCGCGCGTGCAGGGCAACAGCGCGGAGCAGTAGCAGAGCGCACAAGGGCGCACGCAGACCAGAGCGCACAAGGGCGCGGGCAGCAGCAGGGCGCACGACGGGCAGCACAGGCACGGGCAGCAACGGGCGGCAACGGGCAGCACAGGCACGGGCAGCAACGGGCGGCAACGGGCAGCACAGGCACGGGCAGCAACGGGCGGCAACGGGCAGCACAGGCACGGGCAGCAACGGGCGGCAACGGGCAGCACAAGCACGGGCAGCAACGGGCGGCAACGGGCAGCAAAGGCACGGGCAGCAGCACGCAGCAGCGGGCAGCACAGGCACAGGCAGCAACGGGCGGCAACAGGCAGCACAGGCACGGGCAGCGACAGGCAGCACAGGCACGGGCAGCAACGGGCGGCAACAGGCAGCACAGGCACGAGCAGCAACAGGCAGCAACGTGCAGCACAGGCACGGGAAGCAACGGGCGGCAACAGGCAGCACAGGCAGCAAAGGCACAGGCAGCAACAGGCAGCATAGGCACTAGCAGCAACGGGCGGCAACGGGCAGCACAGGCACGGGCAGCAACAGGCAGCAACAGGCAGCACAGGCACGGGCAGCAACAGGCGGCAACGGGCAGCACAGGCACAGGCAGCAACGGGCGGCAACAGGCAGCACAGGCACAGGCAGCGACAGGCAGCACAGGCACGGGCAGCAACGGGCGGCAACAGGCAGCACAGGCACGGGCAGCAACAGACAGCAACGTGCAGCACAGGCACGGGAAGCAACAGGCAGCAACGGGCAGCACAGGCACGGGCAGCAACGGGCGGCAACAGGCAGCACAGGCAGCAAAGGCACAGGCAGCAACAGGCAGCACAGGCACTGGCAGCAACGGGCGGCAACGGGCAGCACAGGCACGGGCAGCAACAGGCAGCAACAGGCAGCACAGGCACGGGCAGCAACAGGCGGCAACGGGCAGCACAGGCACAGGCAGCAACGGGCGGCAACAGGCAGCACAGGCACGGGCAGCGACAGGCAGCACAGGCACGTGCAGCAACGGGCGGCAACGGGCAGCACAGGCACGGGCAGCGACAGGCAGCACAGGCACGGGCAGCAACGGGCGGCAACAGGCAGCACAGGCACAGGCAGCAACAGGCAGCAAAGTGCAGCACAGGCACGGGAAGCAACAGGCAGCAACGGGCAGCACAGGCACGGGCAGCAACGGGCGGCAACAGGCAGCACAGGCAGCAAAGGCACAGGGAGCAACAGGCAGCACAGGCACTGGCAGCAACGGGCGGCAACGGGCAGCACAGGCACGGGCAGCAACAGGCAGCAACAGGCAGCACAGGCACGGGCAGCAACAGGCGGCAACGGCCAGCACAGGCACAGGCAGCAACGGGCGGCAACAGGCAGCACAGGCACGGGCAGCGACAGGCAGCACAGGCACGTGCAGCAACGGGCGGCAACGGGCAGCACAGGCACGGGCAGCGACACGCAGCACAGGCACGGGCAGCAACGGGCGGCAACAGGCAGCACAGGCACATGCAGCAACAGGCAGCACAGGCACGGGCAGCAACGGGCGGCAACAGGGAGCACAGGCACGGGCAGCAACGGGCGGCAACGGGCAGCACAGGCACGGGCAGCGCAGCCACGGGCAGCAACGGGCGGCAACGAGCAGCGCAGGCACGGGCAGCAACAAGCGGCAGCGGGCAGCATAGGCACGGGCAGCAACAGGCGGCAACGGGCAGCACAGGCACGGGCAGCAACGGGCGGCAACAGGCAGCACAGGCACGGGCAGCAACAGGCGGCAACAGGCAGCACAGGCACGGGCAGCAACAGGCGGCAACGGGCAGCACAGGCACAGGCAGCAACGGGCGGTAACAGGCAGCACAGGCACGGGCAGCGACAGGCAGCACACGCACGGGCAGCAACGGGCGGCAACGGGTAGCACGGGCACGGGCAGCGACAGGCAGCACAGGCACGGGCAGCAACGGGCGGCGACAGGCAGCACAGGCACAGACAGCAAGAGGCAGCAACGCGCGGCAACAGGCAGCAAGGTAGGCCCGCGCACGGCTGCAACGCTGGTGCGGGCGCAGGTGAGGCAGAGGCGGTGGCCAGGGGGGAGGGCGCCGCGATGAGTAGGAGCGGCGCCCAAGGGGTGCCGCTATGAGTAAGGGCGACGCCCCATGGGCGCCGCGACGAGCAGGAGCGGCGTCCAGGGGGCGTCGCGATGAGCAGTGGCGACGCCCCGCGGATCCCGCAGTGGCGTCCCGACGAGCAAGGCGACGCCGTGCGGGTCCTGTAGGGGCGTCGCGACGAGCAGGAGCAGCAACGCCCGGGTCCCGCAGGTGCGTCGCGACGAGCAGGAGCGGCGCCTCGCAGGGCGCCGCGAAGTGGAGGGTACGGGCGGGCAAAATAGGCCCGCGCGTGGACGTGAGGCAGGCGCGCAGGCGGCGTGAGGGCAGGCCACGTGCGGGGCAGGAAGACGCCGCGCGGCGGGCAGAAAATCGCCGTGCGCCCGCCGCGCGCCCGAGGCGCGCGGCAGGACGATAGGCAGCGGAAGCAGGAAGTCAGCAGGAAAGTACCTGCTCTGAATACCATGTTCAAGTCTAGCTTGACTTAAGCTTAGGGGCCATAGTTAAGGAGGTTCTTAGTAGTTGAGGTTTAGGGTTGAGGAGAGTGTCGAGAAAGTTGAGAGAGTAGAAAGAGGGCTTCACTATAGGTTGGCAACAACATATAGCAAAGAAACAAAGAGGGTGCACCACCAAACAAAGTTTATAATAACTACACTAACTACATCTACAGGCAGTTACAGATATATTTGGACAACCTTGGCTTATTTTAAAGCTCTTGGAGTGAGCTTTGATATAGAAAATTCTCAGCTTAATCTGGTCGACGGTCTGCACGATACACTGTGCGACATTCAAGGTACTCTTGTTATTTTGACTAAGTTATTATTGATCCCTCTCTCTACAAACTCGTACCCAAGGATAGGGGCTGGTCTTGTACCAGGCACCCAAGGACCCTTGAAGGTGACCCCGAGGAGAGGTTTTAAGTCTGATAAAGTCTTAACAGCTAGAGTTTATTAGGCCCTTACACCAACAAGCTGGTATCAGAGCTGCGTTATAGTGATCCTCGATATAGGTAGCTATGGCGGGCAACACCTCGACAGGAGCTGATGAATCTTCAGCCCAAGATCGTAGTGGCAGCCATAATTCTGGTGTTTCAGTGGCAAGGGGAGCGCAAACAAACCAGGGCTCGCTGGTCTAGAAAGTGCTGAAGAATTTCACCGTCGAGAATTTCAATGGTGAGGGCTATGATGATTGGGCCTGGAAAATGCAACTATATTTCCGTCAGACTGGATTGCTGAAACTTATGATTGGGGAGGAGCCTAGACCGAGTAATCCCACGCTGCAGGAAGATTGGGACGAACGCTGCTCGGCTGGCTACTATTTGATGTCACAGAGTTTGGAGCTGAACCAGCGTCACCACGTTATGCACCTGCTGCTGAAGGTTGAGTGCGGTCCGAAGACGTGGACCGTGTTGAAGGAGCTGCACGCCCCGACCTCCGTTATTGCAACGTTGATGCTAGAGAGGGAGCTGTCCGCATTGCGCCTGAGCAAGGGAGAGCCGGTGCAACCTGTCCTGGACAAATTGCGCGACCTCTACGCGAAGTTGGCGACCGCAGGAATCACCTACCCGGAGCAGACCAAGTGCCTGAAGATGCTCTCGCTGATGCCGGAATCGTGGCTTCAATTCACGAGCGGATTGAGCCTGCCGCAGAACCAGAGCTCGTGGACACTCGAGTGGGTGCGGACAAAGATTCTAGAGGAGGACTTCCGTCGCTGCCAACGTAAGGGTGGAGACGACGGCAGCAATGGCTATGGGATGCAAGGGAGCCGACGTGGCAGAGGACGTGGCTTCGGTGGTGCTGGACGCGGTGCAAAGAAGGACGACGAGTCCAATGACCAACAAGGAGGTACCGGTTGGGGTCGCGTTGCGAAATCTGGACGTGGGGGCAAGTCGGGTGCTGGTGGCAAAATGAAAGGGAGTTGCTGGTATTGTGAGAAGGAGGGGCACCCCTGGTTTTTGTGCTATAAGAAACCCGATGGATGGACCCCCCAGAATCGTCACCAGGATGGCGGCGCGCGGAGGAACCAAAAAAACGGCGCGAGCATAGTTGCCGATTCGTCCGACAACAACCCGAAGAGCAACGGCGGTGCGGAGAAGAAGAAGGAGTGCCCCGCGGGCCAGTTCTTCCATATTGGAGAGCAGGGGGAGCAGAGGGAGCAAGGAGACGCCTCTGCCAAGGTTGGAGCAGAGCTGCACCCCCTGGATTATTGGGTGTTGGACACGGGCGCTGCTTGGATGATGACCCCGCGCAAGGACCTGCTTGACCACGTATGCGCTGCACCGATCAACGAGGTGTGTGTTGGGTGCAAATTCACATTGCACGACATCCTGCCGTCTGTTTGTACGAGTATGCGTGTGCGAATGCATTTGCGTGTGAATGGTATGTTCGTGTGTTTGTTTGCTTTCGCAATTTTCGCTTCAAACATTTGCAGGTACTCGCACAATGTGCGCTTCGGCTTAACATTGTACGCGCTATGAACAGTACAAGCAGAAAGGACGAGCTCGCAAAGGAACCCAAGATGGAAGCTTTGTGGTTCGACTTACTTTATTGCGCAGATTCAGTTCTATCCAACTCGAAATTGTACTGTTTTGTTTGGTTGACTATAGTGTAGCAGGGCAGGCACTATAGGGGTACAATTTAGGTGAAGGTTGGATGTTGTTTGTCTGTATCTGCATGCTACAGGGCCAGGGGAAACCAGCGGAACCAGCATTTGGCTGGTTGGGCAAAGACAAAACAGGTTCTGCTTTTAGGACCTGAACCTGGTTGTTGTTTTTTCCAGGTTGGAAAAACAGAACCAGAGGTTGTTCACCAACCTACCACCTGCTATTGTGTCCAGCCAGGTTGGTTCTGTTGCTTGGAATTATTTGGGATGATCCCTGGTTGTTCCCAGGTTCATTCCCAAGGTCCTTGCTAGCTAGAACTATTTATTCCTACTCTGTTTGTACCTGGATATAGTGAAATTGATTCAGGCGAATTCCTTCCTTGCTGGAATTTCTTGTCTACGCGGTGCGACGGCGGAATGCTACCCGAGTCAACGCTAGTACGCTAGCACTCCAACGCTAGGCTAACGCTGTCCGAGCCATAACTTCGTAATGGCAGAACTTTTCGCGAGGCAACTTGGCTTATTTTAAAGCTCTTAGAGTGAGCTTCGTTATAGGAAATTCTCAGCTTAATCCGGTCGACGGTCTGCACGATACGCTGCGCGACGCTCAAGGTACTCTTGCTGTTTTGACTAAGTCCCTCTTGATCCCTCTCTCTACAAACTCGGACCCGAGGATAGGGGCTGGTCTTGTACCAGGCACCCAAGGACCCTTGGAGGTGACCCCGAGGAGAGGTTTTAAGTGTGATAAAGTCTTAATAGCTTGAGTTTATTAGGCCCTTACACCAACAAGCTGGTATCAGAGCTGCGTTATAGTGATCCTCGATATAGGTAGCTATGGCGGGCAACACCTCGGCGGTAGCTGGTGAATCTTCAGCCCAAGATCGTAGCGGCAGCCATGATTCTGGTGTTTCTGCGCCAAGGGGAGCGCGAACAAGCCAGGGCTCGCTGATCAAGGAGGTGCTGAAAAACTTCACCGTCGAGAAGTTCAATGGTGAGGGCTATGATGATTGGGCCTGGAAAATGCAACTCTATTTCCGTCAGATCGGCTTGCTGAAACTAATGATTGGGGAGGAGCCTAGACCGAGTGACCCCGCCCTTCAGGAAGATTGGGACGAGCGCGCATCGGCTGGCTACTACTTGATGTCGCAGAGTTTGGAGCTGAACCAGCGTCACCACGTCATGCACCTGCTGCCGGAGGTTGAGTGCGGTCCGAAGGCGTGGACCGTGTTGAAGGAGCTGCACGCCCCGACCTCCGTTGTTGCAACATTGATGCTGGAGAGGGAGCTGTCCGCGTTGCGCCTGAGCGAGGGAGAGCCGGTGCAACCTGTCCTGGACAAATTGCGCGACCTCTACGCGAAGTTGGCGACCGCAGGAATCACCTACCCGGAGCAAACAAAGTGCTTGAAGATGCTCTCGCTGCTGCCGGAATCGTGGCTTCAATTTACGAGCGGATTGAGCCTGCCGCAGAACCAGAGCTTGTGGACGCTCGAGTGGGTGCGGACGAAGATTCTGGAGGAGGACTTCCGTCGCCGTCAACTGAGGGGTGGAGACGACGGCAGCAGCGGCTATGGGATGCAAGGGAGCCGACGTGGCAAAGGACGTGGCTTCGGTGGTGCTGGACGCGGTGCAAAGAAGGACGACGACTCCAACGACCAACAAGGAGGTACCGGTTGGGGTCGCGGTGCGAAATTTGGACGTGGGGGCAAGTCGGGTGCTGGTGGCAAAATGAAAGGGAGTTGCTGGTATTGTGAGAAGGAAGGGCACCCCTGGTTTTTGTGCTATAAGAAACCCGATGGATGGACCCCCCAGAATCGTCACCAGGATGGCGGCGCGCGGAGGAACCAGAAAAACGGCGCCAACATGGTCGCTGATTCGTCCGACAACAACCCGAAGGGCAACGGCGGTGCGGAGAAGAAGAAGGAGCGCACCGCGGGCCAATTCTTCCATATGGGAGACAAGGGGGAGCAAGGAGACGCATCTGCTAAGGCTGGAGCAGAGCTGCACCCCCTGGACTATTGGGTGTTGGACACAGGCGCTGCTTGGACAATGACGCCGCGCAAGGACCTGCTGGACGACGTACGCGCTGCACCGATTAATGAGGTGTGCTCTGCCTCTGGACACATGTTGAAGGTGGCTGGTGCGGGACGAGCTGCATTTAAGGGAGCGGATGGCAAGCCGGTGGTGCTGCACGACGTTCTCCTCGTCCCCGACCTGAAGGCCAACCTCATCTCCCTCCGTAAGCTTGGCAAGGCTGGGGTGAACACCAACACGGATGGGGCTCGCACTTATAAAGGGAAGCTGGGCAATCGGGTGCTTTGGGATCTGCACGAGAGCAAGGACGTGTACAGATCTATGTGGCAGCTGCCGGCGCTGGCGTGGCACGGTGGGGGGCAGGCTGGAGAGGGGTCTGCATCCCAGGGGGAGTGCAACGCCGTTGGAGGGGTTGGTGTGA